TTAATATTAAATTGAACCCAATAACTTAAACTGAAAGCTGAAATGAATTACTGTGGCCGGTAAATTTAGCTGACCCCTCCGCCGGTGGCTGGTTCGTAAAAACCACAACTTCGAAGTTCAGTTAACTGAAGTAGAAGTGCCGGCACACTGCCCACGTGCACGGTCAAATTGCTAAGACGCCGGCAATCAGAAAGCAGGCTGCACGGCAAACAAAGACTGTCACGAGAATAAAATCGTCTGCTGGGAAATTATCCGGTCATCTAGCACAACGTTTCGCAATGGTACACGTATCTATACGCATTGCACAATTTGCACTCTTTAACTGTGTCGCATTTATTCTTGACGAGGATGTGACGGTCAGTATACGCTAAATTGCAACCTTGATTCCGATATAAAAATTCTTAATACTATTAGAATTTTCCGCATCGAGACTTTTTTCTGGATAGTTCTCTTCTTTCGCTGCACACTGTTAAACTGAATTAGTTAACACCTGTTCCGTCGAGATGGAGTACAAAGCGCAGGCAGCCACGTCACTGAGGAATTCGAAGAATTTATTGGTGACCTTTCAATACTGCGTTCTCGAGGAGAAAATTTTCCGTAGCTTCACCAAGCCCATGCCTTATCCTCTTGCTATCTATGCATACACCGCCGAATTCTGTGTGAAGAAACAGGAAGATTATCCGGGAATTCCGGCATCCGCGTGGAAGCTGATACTGCTGGTCAGCCGACAGCAGGGAATTCACTCAGCTGAACTGATATGCCGAAATGCTGACGACGAACCCTACGGCCCATTGTTGGAGGCTACTATCAGGTAAACGCGCCTCGCCCCGGATAATTTTGCCCAGTTTTACGTTTCAGTCGCTCGATAGCTACGCGTAAAATTAGCTTTAATAATGCTGAACTATTTAAATTTTAAGGGTATATTTTAAATCAAATTTATCTGCATTTTATCGCAGTTAACCCACACGTTTCGTGAAATATGTTTACTTACTAATAGCCTTACCGCAGCAGCAAAGCCCCTAAAACTGAGAGCGTAAATAAATTTTGCTAAACCTGCTTTCTAATATATTTACAAACCACCTGACCGTTATCACAGCTCTACGTATGTACCGAGAAGACCACGTGTTGTGCATGTTTAAGTCTTTCTAAAAACTCCTGAGACAATGTGACCTGCTCTTCGAAATATGCAAGTAATAAACCCGAGGCCACGTAACGTTTTTCTTTAAATTTATGTACTAGTAATAAACTAGAAAAAACGCGAACTTTGTGCTTGTATACACAATTTGCTTTCTTTTCCATAACAGTCCAACTGCATGCTCCGCTCCGGCTGTGTGGATTACCTGGGAAGCGCAGCAAGACCGCGTTTGCATCAACTCGGATTATCAGTGCTCGGAGTTCGCTCCAAAAGGTAGTCAACCCGCCAAGACGTTGCTCCCCGGGCACCTGTACATCAATCTGTCCTATCGTCTCTCCCGGCCGACCATCGAACGTCGCCTGCTGCCCAACGCCTTCACCGATTGCGCTCTGGTTTCCAACGACGGTCGGCGGTTTTGCGTGCACCGTGCCATTCTGGCCAACCAGTCCTCCGTTTTCCTGTCCCTATTCCAGGACGCCGGTTCCCCGCAGAACGGGGAGTTGTACTTCGTGGATTTGGCAGGCGACATTCTGGATACGGTGGTCAAGTACGTCTATACCCGGGAGATCGAGGGGAAAAACCCGGCGGAATTGCAGGAGTTGTGGCGCGTTGCCAGCAAATACGACCTGGTGGACATGAAGCAGGCTTGTGTGGATCGCTTGTACGACGGCGTCATAAAGTCCGACGTGGACGAATGCTATAGATTCGGTTAGGAAAATGGGCTGCATGTACTGAAGCTAAAGACTGGGTTAATTTACTGTGACGAGCTTTTTCCATCTTCAGGTTCGCTGTTCTCTTTGGATGACATGGTAGATAGGTACTTCACTGTGGAATCCTGAAACATGAGCGGAGTTTCCACCAGAGGATGATCGCTAGTGGTTTTCGTTTTGGAATTTCTCGTCGGTCTTCTGTTCTGAGCTTCTCATAGTTTTTTGCTTTGTTGGATAATTACATCAGAGTGTGAGTCGGGTTAATTTTATAAATGGAAGTGGTTAATTGTCAAGTGGAAAACATCGCGGTTTTTTTGACTTGTACTACTTTCTTCTAATTACTGTGGATAGTATGAACTCTTCGCCGCAGTTATATTGCATTGTCACGTTTTATTGTACTTGTTAGTTAATATTCGAAACCATTATTTTGTGTACTTTATTTTCAATTCGCACAAGCAGAAGCCATTTACATTTAAACTATAAAAACCCCACAATTAAAACAAGTAAAATAACTCTTCTAACTTTCGAGAACATCCAACCGTGCCCAGTACGGAAGCTGCGTTTCCGCGCTGAATTTCCACGCTTATTCGCTGCCACAAATATTCAGTAGCGCGCTTTTCTCCTGTTTGCTCTTTGATACGCCGGCCGACTTCACAGATGAACTGACGGGTACTTCCGCCGCAACTTCCCGTAGTTTCAAAAGACACAGGTTGGAAAAAATACCGATCGGTGAGTTCGGAATAGAGGTTTCGCTTTCGCAGCTCCGCGTCTTCTGCAGCCGATCCCGCTGCTTCTGATGACCCGACAATGTACGAAGTAATAAACGTGTCGCAGTTTTATTGCATACTTGTATGTACCGAGACGTTTTGCATTCTGTTGTACCCGATTTGTGGACTACAAGTACTGTATAAATAAGAGTTTAAAAATTCATGGCAGCAGGGAGCCCATAAACTTGCTGTGCTAAGCATGATCCTGCTGGTTAGGAATGTTTTACTCGGGTGCACGGTTAATAAAGCGTTTGATGTGGCTATTGGGCCGACCGGAAGGATCAAGCATTTCGGCAGCAAGTTTAAGGGATAAACCTTTGGGTCGGAAACTGGTAGCATAAGCAGGTCGAAGCTAAAGTTTCTACCGAGTTAGTTCACGGGTTTCAAAGAAAGTATAGTTTCTTTACGATACAATCGCTGTTGTGAATTTTGTTACCATAAAATATAGCGTCGCCAGATTTTTCACAAAAATGCACTAATCACCGTACCGGCAGAAGGTTTTTCCGGTTTGGACTGCTAGGTTAGCCTTCTAGTCTGTTACGGGTCACTGTCCATCCATGAGCTCTTGGTGAATCTCACTTTGCTGGTTCTTTAGACCTTGGCAATGTGTTTTCAATTCAGCGCATGTTTCCAGCAAAGGCACTGAAAATCAGCCAGTGGCAAGGACAACGACCCAAAGTAGAAACGGCGTCACGTTCATTGTGTTCGCTTTTAACAAGAGTCGTGTTGCCGTTTCTTGCTCTCCAATCTTGTTCCTGTCCTCAATACAGTTTAGCCCACCGAACGCTGTTCGATACCACCGCCTTGTACTTCTGATTACAAACTGAAGTATTTTTACAGATTTCCTAAATACTGTATCTAGTGCATTTTCCGTGCCTGCTTTATATGATTAGCTTAAGATAATTACAGCGATTGCAAAGTTGATAGTGAAACATGCAGCAATCTCTTCTGTACATGTGCAATCGACGGCCGTCAGTCGATTGAGCTGATTAAATTCCTCGAATTTAAGCCGGTTTCAAGGTAGCATATTAAGGTTAATGCAGTAACGTTTATAAGAATCGGCGGCTAAAATATGCTAGACTGACAGTTACCCGAAACAGTGCATTAGGAATCCCAAGTTATCAGTAAATCTCCAAAAAATCTGCGCATATACAGGGTTATCGCGCCAAGTGTGGACAGTTGCGTAAAATAAATTAAGAAATATTCCTGTATATTGTTTTGGCATATGTTTTGATTTTTTCTAGTGTAATTTTTTATTGCGAATTCAGTGATACCAAAACTGATATCTGTTGAAGTGTGCGAAAGGAAACGGGCGGTGCTTAAGGGGAAGGGGTAGCGGTCAATTTTTTAACGTTTATAATGACCCCTCTCAGAAATTCAGTAACGGGTGTTTTCGCGTGACCTTTTTAGTAAACTATCGAGTGCTCTACAAAGTTTTTATTACCGGTTAGCAAAAAATTCTAGCACGATCACTGCTCGTCGTGAGTTCGAAACAGGTTGTGCCTCCCATAGACTTGTATGTTAAAACCTACATTTCGAAGAATGTTGTTGCCTGGATCCCTGGTTGCGTTGGACGAGAGATTAGTGATTTAACGGAAGTCCGAAAGGAACCATTAGAACACCATGTTATTACTTGGGGGGTTCTCAATTGTCCAACATTTTTAAAATAATGCTGATTGCACGTGACTATTTCTCGTTAAGCAGTGCAATTTTTCGGAAAAAAATGAAAGTAAATCTTCGGCTTTTTTCCTGCAGTATAGCTTTTAGAGCGGGAAGATGGCCAACGAAGCTGCTACAGACCAAGATCTATCATATAAAATTAACATAAAAATTTGTGACTTCACTGGTTGCAACTGGGGAATTTTTTGTACTGTCCACACTTGGCCCGATAACCCTGTATATTTTTAGAAAACGCTCGTGCACCACTAAGAAAACCGAAACGAGACTGGAATCATCTGTTTGTCGCGATTTCCACAAAATCCTGGCTGTTTTCCGTGCAGCCTTATACTGAGCAACCGCAAACGGTTACAGTATCAGAATACCTATGCGTGATGAGTACAATCCCCGAACGGGAAAGCATCGAAAAGCGTTTTTATTAGAAATGTTTTGCTTTGGTGCTCACTTTAGTACTAGCATTGTGATAATTATTAAAGCACCTTTCAGAGTAAGCGTTCACAGTGTTTCACAAAACCTAAAGTCAAGACGGATTCGTACATTTTTTGCTGAAATCGGGCAACAATTTAATTAAACATACGAAGATAACAAAACAAAATTTCTGTGCGGAGGACGGCCTCGGACACTGCGAAGAGAAAGCAGGTTTCTGGTTCGCTTGTATTTATCTGTTTGGGCGTATTTCAATACGAATTCGAAACAGAATCATTGCACCGCCAACCGATAGCCATAGACTGTAGTAGCAACGTGGTATTAAGTATTAACAACTGTAAGTTAAATTTGATATTTCATGCTTAATGAGGCGCCGTATTGTCAACAGAACAACAAAAAAAACAACTGTGTACATGTCGGGCGAAAACCGCTCCCATTCGCGTGACAGAATCTCAACCTATTAAATGCACGATTTCTCTTGCGAGTAAAAGAAGATACTGACGCAATGCGTTAATAACTGGTAAAATTTTCTGACAGTTACAACCTACAAATTGAAATGGCTATAAACAATATAACGCCTTAACGCGGGCAATTAGTTTCACGAAGATATCCGGTTCCATCCATCAGAATTCGCCGGCCTTCCTCACCGCACTTTTTTGCAATGGCTGCCGCAGTTCCATTCATGTGTGCCGAGATGTCTGATAGTGCCCTGCAATCAAACATCATAATTATTGTTCTAAAATACATATGGTACGCAGAATGATTTGAAGTGATACCAACCTGCAAGCGTTTTCTTGAGCGGTGGAAGCATTGACGGACTGCTGTACATAAGTCGACTGAGGATTTAGCCTCGGAATTTGTGCTTGAAGATCGATATTCTCCGCGTAACAGTAGTACAAAGCCGGTATATAGTTGTGCACGGGGGCGGCTGAGTCGCAGAGCTTGGCGTTAAATGTAAATGAAGGCGGCTACGTGCATTAAACATACGAAGATAACAAAACAAAATTTCTGTGCGGAGGACGGCCTCGGACACTGCGAAGAGAAAGCAGGTTTCTGGTTCGCTTGTATTTATCTGTTTGGGCGTATTTCAATACGAATTCGAAACAGAATCATTGCACCGCCAACCGATAGCCATAGACTGTAGTAGCAACGTGGTATTAAGTATTAACAACTGTAAGTTAAATTTGATATTTCATGCTTAATGAGGCGCCGTATTGTCAACAGAACAACAAAAAAAACAACTGTGTACATGTCGGGCGAAAACCGCTCCCATTCGCGTGACAGAATCTCAAACTAGTAAATGCAGGATTTCTCTTGCGCAGTAAAGAAGATACTGACGCAATGCGTTAATAACTGGTAAAATTCTACTGACAGTTACAACCTACAAATTGAAATGGCTATAAACAATATAACGCCTTAATGCGGGCAATTAGTTTCACGAAGATATCCGGTTCCATCCATCAGAATTCGCCGGCCTTCCTCACCGCACTTTTTTGCAATGGCTGCCGCAGTTCCATTCATGTGTGCCGAGATGTCTGATAGTGCCCTGCAATCAAACATCATAATTATTGTTCTAAAATACATATGGTACGCAGAATGATTTGAAGTGATACCAACCTGCAAGCGTTTTCTTGAGCGGTGGAAGCATTGACGGACTGCTGTACATAAGTCGACTGAGGATTTAGCCTCGGAATTTGTGCTTGAAGATCGATATTCTCCGCGTAACAGTAGTACAAAGCCGGTATATAGTTGTGCACGGGGGCGGCTGAGTCGCAGAGCTTGGCGTTAAATGTCAGCCATGTGGCCATGAACTGGTCGTTTCCAGAAACGGACAGCGGCTGTCTAGGACAATCCTGGGTCAAAGCGTTTAAACATTGCGCGGATTCCTGCATGAAGCTGCAAAAATCCGATTAAAAGTTTGTTTTCAAATTTTGTTAGGGTTATTTGATAGCTTAGCAGTCGGTCAGTTTTCGTTATCCACCTTACCGACAAATCACTTTCTCGGTTCGAGCTGTCTGATCAGCCTTGTCATCCGCTATTGGCCATTCAGTCACCATAAGCTGCTGGTTAAGGTCGCCAAGCTTATTTTGCAGTGTTTCGCAACGTATCGCCAAAGCGTCGCATGTTTCATTTACTGGCAATGAAAAACTTCCATTAGTTAAGACAAGGGCACACAGTAGAAACGGTGCTATGTGCATTCTGCCTGTTTTTGACCAGTGCCGACTTCCTTCTTGATTCAGTCCGGAAAGAAGTTTAACTGACAGGTATCTCTTCTACACCGCTTCTATAGCTCTGAACTCCGACTGCAATAGTTTGACCAGAGTTTCCTTTAGTAATGGGTCTAGAGCGTTTTCTGTCCCGGCTTTTAATGGGTACTTTTACTACCCAGTAGAACGATTGCAACGTCGATAAACTTATAATCGCTGCAATCTTTTTTGTGCAACAGGCCTTGCCGATCCGGCGAGTTGATAAAATTCGAAGAAGTTAAAAGTTAATTCGGCTTAGCAGGTTACAGAAGGTTTATACATGGATGAGCGTTAAAGAAAAGCAGCTTTATATTATGCTGAACTCGCGTTTACCGCGACTTTGCATTTTTGCATTAGGTATCCTGATTCACCAAGTAACTGTACGTATGCATGTAGGAATAAACGCATAAATTATTTCTAGTTAAGCGGTAGAGTCAGCGCTACCGGAGAAGCCGAATTGCGATTTGAATCATCGGTCACGAATCCCCCAAAGTTTAGCCTACCTACCGATTACCCTTTCGATTTCAAATTTTGCACGTAAATGCTCATTTGACAATTGACATACTCAAAGCTTTCTCGCGCTTGTACGAGGTCGCGGTGAATGTGAACGGCCACCGAGTTAGTAATTGCTAAGGGTATATTTCCGCTTACTAGTACTCCTACTTACCTACCTACTTTTTGCCTTACTTACTTACTTACGTACTTACTTACTTACTTACTTACTTCCCTTGATCATGATACTCCCCATGGTGGAATCCAGTGGTAAATGATCAGCATGTATTTGTACATGTCTTTTTCGGGATCTGCGGCGGCCACGGGTATAAAGCGTTTTACACTGTTACAGAAAGTGTAGTAAAGGTTTCCGGCTTGTAACGCTGCAGTGCTGCTATGAATTTATTAATTGCAGAACCCGAATGTTGCACCATCATAAGCAGAATCACGCTCCCGCGCGGCATTGGATAATGTAGCTTAGAGTCATTTAACTGTACGCCGGCTAGTATCGGAAATTCGACTCGGTGTCTGTATGATAAGCAGGATCTACGTCGGAATCGTACCCGTCGAGTTCTTCGTAATTTTCCATTTATTACAGCTGCATTAAAAAAATACTGCAAAATACTTAATAATTTGTTTCTCTATTTTCTTCGCACGATGTCAAAGTAGTTATTGGAAGTGGCTAGTTTTCGCTGTACAAAAACAAATTTATTACAATTTGGCAAATGCTATGTGCACTTTGCACAAACTGTGAGCAAATACAGTACTGTGTGCGCTGTTCTCGCACTGATTCCGTACAGACAATCGCATTGTAGTTTTTTCAATACCGCACATTAAGTAGCTGCAACGCAAATTACAGACTGTTATTGTTTGACTGAAGGAAATTATTCGTCATATTTAGGCCAGAAATAAAGGAAGAAATGTACATTTTAGTAGTGACTTGGCGTCATTGCTTAACCCTGTGTAATTTCATTGTGATAAAATTAAGCTGTGGCCGTGGGGATATAGTTTACTTTATACATTTTTACAAACACACGCTTCACAACAAGGAATTATGTTATAACTTCGGTTGGTGACAAAAACAATATTTCGGGAAAAAGTACTGAATAATCCAGCGACATTTATGTATGAGCATTTGTTGTCACGTTGGTTGGTACCGGTTCAAGATCTTCGGCAGTTCCCAGCCGGCGATCGCCCAGAAGTTTGACACGGCCGCGAAATTGATAACGATGCATTTAAGCAGATCCCCTTTAGGCTTAAGCCTTCCCATCATTCAAATTATAAACCATACTTTCCACTGTGTTCCCAGTTTTAGCCAATGGCTATAATATTTATAATTTCCATGATTTATGTTGATGATGGCACAAATCCGTAAACAAAACAGCAGCGGAATTTTAATTTTGCAGATATTTTCCGGTAATAACTTTGGTCGAAGAACAGAATGAGGACAATTTTTTCTTCACGGCTGCAGTTAAATGATTCAACTCCAGAAATTAATTGTAAACATAAATCGTGTAAACATAAATTACGTATAATAGAAGTGAAATTCTACCGAATGCAATTCTGTGGAAATCTTCTTTTTTGATACCCTTCTGGCGAATGCAGTTCCCTGGTGAATTCAGCCAATTAATGAAATAATGCGACCGAGTATAATTGACGGCACTGGCTCAAAATTGATACGAATCGACGAAAGCAGTAGAAACGACGGTATAAGGAGGTCAAATGGCTCACGCCCGCAAACAGAGAGCGAGGCAAACAAAGGAGTCACGAGAAGCCATCCGGTTATCCGGCACAGCGCAATAAATTCGTTACACTCTTGCCTCGTTGCAGTCATTTAATTTGTTGGCTATTGTTCTACTGCAAAACGGACATACGAAATGCCATATCTGCGCAATAGCAACAGTGGTTCCGATATAACAGTGCTATCAGGCTCTGCCACGCTACCACAGACATCAATTTTTTATTTTTGAACTCTCTGGTTTTCTGTGGCGTGCTAAGACACTTCAAGATGAATCTCGGTAATGAGTTCAGCAAGTACACAGCCCCAGCTGCCACGTCGGTCAGGACTTCGAAGGACTTGTTGGTGACCTTTCAGTATTTCCTTATGAAGGAGAAAATTGCCAGTTCGACGAACTTCAGAGGCTTTAATTACGCGGACAATGCCAAGGAGTACACGGCTAATTTTACTGTGGAGAAGCAGGGTGACTATCCGGAAATCCCGGCATCCGCGTGGGTACTTTCACTGATGGCCAGCCCGAAGCATGGCATTCATTCGGCTGAAATGTATCTGGAGCGCCGCAACACCCCTGACGAACCTTACGGACCACTGGTGGACGTTACCATTAGGTACTTGGCACCTAATTTGATCCAAGAATATAAGTTTTCTAGTAGATCTGTCAACTATGTAACCGCTGATGTATGCGTTTAATCAAACAGCTCTTGGTAAAATTAAATTATTTTAAATTTTTATGCAGGTAAGTGACAACTGGTTCATTTTGTCGAAGTTCATTTCGTCGAATTTCGTCGTACTGTTTTAACGCAGCATAATTTAAAAGCCGATAGGCTGGTCGCTTTAACACAGTTTATCCAACGTAAAGAGGCAATCTTGTACAAAATCTGAAGACCCGATAACCTTTATTTACAAACCTGTCTTTGTTCTACGCACAGCCCAACGGCCTCCTCAGTTCCGGCTGTCTGGTTTTTCTGTGATCCGCACGCATTCTTGGGATACCGTGTCGGGATCAACAATGATTATTGCTTCTCTGAATCTGCGCCGCGAACTGGTATACCCAAGCAGACGTTACTGCCGGGCAGCCTGTATGTCAACCTGACCTACCGTCTTTCCCGTCCCACCATCGAACGCCGCCTGCTGCCCAAAGCCTTCACCGACTGCACTCTGGTTTCCAACGACGGACACCGGTTTCCCGTGCATCGTGCGGTTCTGGCCAACCAGTCCTCCGTTTTCCTGTCCATGTTCCAGGGCGCCAGTGCCCCGTTGACCGGGGAGCTATATTTCGTCGATCTCAGCGGCGACATCCTGGAGGCCGTGGTCAAGTACGTGTACACCCGGCAGATTGAGGGCAAACAACGGAAGGAAGTGCAAGAGCTGTGGCGCGTGGCCGGCAAGTATGACCTGGTGGATTTGAAGCAGGCCTGCGAAGACCGCCTGTTTAATGATGTCAACGAACGCGAACTGATCAGCTATTATAAATTCGCTCGGGATAATGGCTTGCATGAAATGAAGCTGAAGGCGGAGTTGATCTACTGTGAGAAACGCGTTATGGAGTCGCCACCGAAAGGACTTGGTTGGTGCAAGCATGTTACTTTGGATTTAATGGCGAATATTGTGTTGGTAAACCCTGAAATCCAAGAAGTTGTTATGACTGATTAGGTTCTGAAAATTGCTTATCAACTTCATATTTTCATAGTGGAAGTAAACGCCCGAGCATTCCTGCCGGCCTTTTTAATTTGGTAAAAGTTTATGGATTTCAAAGTGGAAATCTTTGCGAACTCTTTTGTTAGTGTCAAATGACTTTTTTTTAATACCGTAGAGATTCTGTAACTGCTTAGCAAAACGGTATTGGCACTGATAAATCTCGGGCATAGAAAGCAACGAGACTACGAGATCGCTGTGTGAATGCTATTTTAGCTTCTGCATAACTTGCGGGGAAAAGAACTGGCTCATAATTAAGAAATGTTCGTTTCACTTCAGGGCTCGTAGATTTAGGATAACTTCGTAATGATCTGACCTGAACTTTATGATTTCGGCAGGAACTTTAACAACCACGTCAGTGCGTCGCAAATTGTCAGTTATACGGTATACAGCAAACATTCAGTTATATTCTGTACACTAAATATACAATAGTTAAATTCTGATACCGCCATTAACCACAAAATGTTTGCAAATACAATCGGTCTCTGCGATTTCCGTTATGAGAAAACATAAAAAATAACGGTCGAGAAAATTGGTAAAAGTATGCTACTTAACAGTTTACTTCACCTTTATTTTCTGTGCTTTCAAATTCATTCTATCATTTGATTTTTAATTTAAATATTGAGAAGTGGCGATACAAATTAGGCAAGCGAAGCAGATTGTGGAGTGCTCTTGCGGTTGCGCAGAATGAACTGATAACACATTTAGACATAATAACGAAACATTTTGGTAATAGTTACTGTGCTATACGAGTATGGATAATTTTTGAACTACGGTATTTGAACAAAACACGCTTATGCATCTGAAAGTGCGGTTGAGCAGCGCGTGCACTGAAGGTATGGCATCCTTGAACCTTCCTCCGGGGAGCAAACTGTTGGCATGCGTGAGTACGAAACTGTAGCGGAAATCCAAACATTTCCAAAGCACAAGATTTCCGCTCTATGTGTCTATAAAGAAAACTTGGCAATTACACTGACCAGAGAAGATTGCCATATTGACAATTTGACACGTTTGCACCACAATAATCATTCCGCGGAAAAAATAGCTAGATTTTTTTAGCTCTCGTTGGAGTGCGCAGAGTAATTTAAATGCATACTGACGTTGTCTGTTGAACTGGAATTACGTGTATCACCTAAATTAAATTACAGAGCAGTGTAGCGTACCAAAGACTGAAAAGCATGAAATTGTATAACTGTGGATAGTCGTGTGTTTGTCGTGTGGCTTTATTTCTTGCTTCCTACAAGCTGTTTCATCCGGCATAAAAGATGCGACATATATTACAGAAAAGTGTCGCCAGTTATTGCGAAAAGCAAATTTTCTGGCTGTACATTGTGTGGCTTATAATACAGATTCTGGCAGGCAATTACGCATAATGAGAAACAAGAAACAGTAGCTGCTACCGCTAATTAACGGACGCGATACTAGCCACTTCTGCACGCTAGAAGATGGCTTTTCGTAGGTTTTAGCGTATGAAGATGGCTAATATCGGGTTTGTTAATCACTGTTAGCAATTATTATTTCCTACTCCACATGATTCGAAAGCGGCTTTTTTGCACTGTTTATGGATACAGCCATTACACCGTATCTTTGAAAAACGATATGTAAATAACAAGAATTTTTTAAAAAGTAACAATCGGGATGCGCGCCAGTTCGTATTGTTTGTGATCGGGTCAAGCAGGGAAAGTGGCGGGCAACATGTCCCATAGCATTTCGCACGTGGCAGGACTAAAAGGCGGTCTGCCTCACCCACAAATTTTAATGAGTTGCCTATTCTGTACCTGTCTATTGTTTTTGAACTAGGCCTTCACGTGCTGTGACCAGATGATCTGTGTGCGTTACTTATGAACGCGGCGCAAACAGTGAAACAACTGTAAAAAGATTTTAGGCGGTTGACCCGGATACCACATCGAATCGCGACGACAGTTAAGTAATCGCACGCGGTAGCGGATTTCTGCAAGATGCACGCAAAACCACTCGTTATTTCTGTTATAAAAGGCCTGACAGCGGTGCACACTGCACATCCGTTTCTGCTAGATAAATTTTTCAAAATCCTCGCTCGCTAGTATAGTTCACTTTGTAAACTTGTTTGAACCGTCGTTTTTCTCAAGAAATTTCGCAGTTCTTACACGTGCAACCATGTCGCTCCAAGGCCGAAAATCGCAGTTCCTTCTGCAGTATAAATTAGCCACGGATACCTTCGTCATGACTGAGGAGTTCGTCGACAACGGCAACGGTACCAAGAGCACCTACGTGAAAACGCGCCGCTTCACTTCCCCGGAGTTTAAAGTGGAAGCACAGCCAGACTATCCGGAGATTCCCACATCACGATGGACGCTCGCCCTTGAAGTCGACCAGCAAAAGCATACCGTCAAGTCCACACTGACAAACGTGGATTTCACCGCGAGTCCCCACGGCGTTCTGGTGCAGTACAGCGTTAGGTATGGTCACCGGCATTATGAACATTTTTCCCTGTTTTATTAATGGTACCGAACCTATGTACTGTGCAAATCAATAAATATAACTGACCATATAACCACTCGTATGCGACTGACGTTTGGTAGAAAATGGACGTATGGAATTTTGAAACCTTGGATAACGATGTGACCTTTTGATGGAAATATTCTTTTTGCTGAATTTATATCTCTTCTTTGGGTTTCACTCTTCCAGAATTGCATTATATGACTCAATCACCCTTTATCATTATAAAAACGGAAAAATATGTGTAAGTACGAATAGCTAAATTTTTGATAGACATTTTCTGCCCGTTTCCGCGCACACTTCTATAAAACACTGATTATGGTTTCCGATTCTTATCATCGAATGCAACACTTTAATTTAAGACTTGCACTACTATAATCAATCTGCCACCATCAGCTGCAATTTATTAACGGCAGTTTTCATTACAGCTCAAGCGCCACGGCCTACACCATCTGGCTACCGCCAGCGGGAGCGGAACCGGCGGAATATCTTCATGTGGATTCCGCGTGGCCGTTTGTTGGCGAACTGCTGTGCGATGCCAATACCAGCGGGGACCGTTACTACGGTGCACATCAAACCCACCGTCCAAATCGAACCGTGTACCTGACACTGGCCTTCCAGATCAACCGCGGACCGACGGATCTGATGCCCATCTTGGACGCCGGCCAGTTCACCGACTGCACGCTGATCTCCAGCGATGGACGGACCTTCTCGGCGCACCGTGCTATCCTGGCGGCCGTGTCACCCATCTTCATGGAACTTTTTGAGAAACAGGGAGACCATCCGCCCAGCCACTTTCTGATCGACCTCACCGGGGAGCTCTTGGAGACGCTGCTGCAGTACGTGTACGATCGGATGCCGATGAAGTTGGCCGGACGACTGGAGGAGTTCTGGGCGGTGGCGGAGCAGTTCGAGATGACGGCGCTGCAGTGTGCCTGTGAGGATATGATGATGGCGGATGTTGGGAGGGAGAACGCGATGAAGTACTTTGATTTTGCGCGGGAACGTGGACTGGAGCATCTGCAGCGGAAGGCGGCTACGTGCATTGCTAGCGACCAGTAAAGATGCCAGCAGGATCGACCTATTCTGATATTTGGTAATATTAGCATGTACATTCCATACTTGTTGTTTGCGCCTGCCTACCTTACCTACCAAAAAATAATCCGACTTTGCGCTAGTGAGCGTAGTCACTAGTTTTCTGGGTTTTTTTTACTTTCTCATTTTCTGTAGCTGACACGTTTACTGGGTGACGAATGTGACACTTGTCGAAATAATATTGGCATCAGTTAAATTACCTGAAAATCCGAATGTTGTCCATGCTTGTATCCTTGGATGCCTTGACATTAGCAATACAAGCGCTATTTTGAAATTACCCATTCAACGTCGTCTTTGACATCACTGACGCAGCTTCGCGTAGTGGGTCAAAAAGTGTCTCTTAATTTCGCGATAATACAGTACTAAGTAAGTACTTTTACATATATGTATGATACAAATAAGGTTTCAACTACTAGTGCTTGCTTGCCCGGACAGCGAAATTTAATTCTAACGTCAATCTAACGTCGTTCAGGCGATTCAGCTGCCATAAAGGCAACAGTTCAATTTTACCACATTAAATTTACCTGTCAGTCCAAAGCGGCACGATTTTGGAACCTCCTTCCATGAAAAAAGCCGCTGGTATGCGTGAGTGAGAACTTGTGGGCGGAAATCCTCACAATTGCAAAGCATCGCATATCCGCTCTAACTGTGTACCACAAACTTTGGAGTTACATTGACAGTAGCAGATCTGCCATATTAACGAACAGTGAACACCTTCACCCAGGATTCCAGGAACCATATTCCGTCGTGAAAATTGCTAGATTTAAATAGCTGTAGCTAATCTAAGCTAATCTAATCTAATTATTTGTAGCTAATCGGTATTTGGTTTTCGTAGTTTTACTCTGGAGCGCGCAAACAGTAATTTAATTACATACATACTTCTATTATTAATCTTTCCTGCTGAGTTAAAACTAAAGAGACGGAAAACAGTACCACTATAGTTTCAAAGCTGTTAACTGCCATAAAGCGTGTTTCACGCGTGGGTCTTTTGCCGGCGAAGATTTATTTCTTCTTTCTACTCGCCGTTACCGGGTTAAAAAGACACAGATATCGATATAACGAAACAAAATTTCGTGAATTCTTCTGGAAAAACAAATCTTTGTGACTGCATGCGGTATGGCATATCTTGCCGACAGCTAGGTCATCCTGTTCTGTGACTTGGTCTTCAGTGTGAGCTCTTCAGACACCCGAAACAGCTGTGGGAGGTTAGCGGCGGTTGACCCGGATACCAGGCCAAAAAATCAATATAGCACGGTAGCGGATTTCTACAAGATACGCGCAATGCGATCCCGCGCACGTATTCGTTCGTTCTATCTGTTATAAAAGGGCTGACAGCGGTGCACACCGCTCGCCTGTTTCTGCTAGATAAATGTTTTTAAATCTCGCTCACTAGAAAACTTGTATCGTTGTGGTCGTTTTGTTCAAATCCTCGTTTTTTACAGTAATTGCGTACTTTCTGATACGTGAAACCATGTCGCTCCAGGGCCGGAAATCCCAGCTCCTTCTGCAGTACAAATTAGCCACGGACACCTTTGCCATGACCGGGAGTGAAAGAGGAAACCGGCACAGGCGCCACCAAAAGTTCCTACGTGAAGGCACGCCGCTACACGTCTCCGGAGTTTACCGTGGAAGCACAGGCGGACTATCCGGAGATTCCCGCATCCCGATGGACACTCGTCCTTGAGGTCGACTTGCGCAAGTACACTGTGAAGTCCACACTGACAAACGTGGATTTCACCGCGGGTTTCCACGGTGTTCTGGTGCAGTACAGCGTTAGGTAAGGGCGCAGCTATATGAAAGCGCAGCTATATGAAATAATGTTTTGCTGTTATTTTAATAGTTCCAATAGGATACTTGTGCGTACTGTAACTTTAAATAACGACATGACTTTTAATGAATATGTTAGTTGCGCTCTGCAATTCAAATTAAATAGTGCTAAAATTATGGAGTACAATACAATGTCATGTAAAGCTATGGGATAATACATATGTAATATAATATTGTATTATGGAAGACAATATTGTGTTAAGTATGCGAAGTTATATAATATTATGAAATTATAAAATATTGTGTTATGGAATACAATATTATGTAACGTTGGTATTTGCTGGTACCATTCCGAAAACCAGATAAGGTTGACGGCATTTTTCATTGCAGTTCAAGCGCCAATGCCTATACTATCTGGCTGCCGCCAGCGGAGCGGAACCCCAGCCTGCAGAGTATCGCCATGTAGATTCCGCTTGGCCGTTTCTCGGCGAACTGATGTGCGACGCCAATGCCAACGGGGAGCGATGCATCGGTGCATGGAACAGTGTGCGTCCGGGTCGGACCGTGTACCTGACACTGGCCTTCGAGATCAACCGCGGACCGACGGATCTGACGCCCATCTTGGACGCCGGCCAGTTTACCGACTGCACGCTGATCTCCAGCGATGGACGCACCTTCTCGGCGCACCGTGCTATCCTGGCGGCCGTGTCACCCATCTTCATGGAACTTTTTGAGAAACAGGGAGACCATCCGCCCAGCCACTTTCTGATCGACCTCACCGGGGAGCTCTTGGAGACGCTGCTGCAGTACGTGTACGATCGGATGCCGATGAAGTTGGCCGGACGACTGGAGGAGTTCTGGGCGGTGGCGGAGCAGTTCGAGATGACGGCGCTGCAGTGTGCCTGTGAGGATATGATGATGGCGGATGTTGGGAGGGAGAACGCGATGAAGTACTTTGATTTTGCGCGGGAACGTGGACTGGAGCATCTGCAGCGGAAGGCGGCTACGTGCATTGCTAGCGACCAGTAAAGATGCCAGCAGGATCGACCTATTCTGATATTTGGTAATATTAGCACATGTACATTCCACTTGTTGTTTGCGCCTGCCTACCTTACCTACCAAAAAATAATCCGACTTTGCGCTAGTGAGCGTAGTCACTAGTTTTCTGGGTTTTTTTTACTTTCTCATTTTCTGTAGCTGACACGTTTACTGGGTGACGAATGTGACACTTGTCGAAATAATATTGGCATCAGTTAAATTACCTGAAAATCCGAATGTTGTCCATGCTTGTATCCTTGGATGCCTTGACATTAGCAATACAAGCGCTATTTTGAAATTACCCATTCAACGTCGTCTTCTTTGACATCACTGACGCAGCTTCGCGTAGTGGGTCAAAAAGTGTCTCTTAATTTCGCGATAATACAGTACTAAGTAAGTACTTTTACATATATGTATGATACAAATAAGGTTTCAACTACTAGTGCTTGCTTGCCTGGACAGCGAAATTTAATTCTAACGTCAATCTAACGTCGTTCAGGCGATTCAGCTGCCATAAAGGCAACAGTTCAATTTTACCACATTAAATTTACCTGTCAGTCCAAAGCGGCACGATTTTGGAACCTCCTTCCATGAAAAAGCCCGTTAGTATGCGTGAGTGAGAACTTGCGGCGGAAATCCGCACAATTGCAAAGCATCGCATATCCGCTCTAACTGTGTACCACAAACTTTGGAGTTACATTGACAGTAGCAGATCTGCCATATTAACGAACAGTGAACACCTTCACCCAGGATTCCAGGAACCATATTCCGTCGTGAAAATTGCTAGATTTAAATAGCTGTAGCTAATCTAAGCTAATCTAATCTAATTATTTGTAGCTAATCGGTATTTGGTTTTCGTAGTTTTACTCTGGAGCGCGCAAACAGTAATTTAATTACATACATACTTCTATTATTAATCTTTCCTGCTGAGTTAAAACTAAAGAGACGGAAAACAGTACCACTATAGTTTCAAAGCTGTTAACTGCCATAAAGCGTGTTTCACGCGTGGGTCTTTTGCCGGCGAAGATTTATTTCTTCTTTCTACTCGCCGTTACCGGGTTAAAAAAAGACACAGATATCGATATAACGAAACAAAATTTCGTGAATTCTTCTGGAAAAACAAATCTTTGTGACTGCATGCGGTATGGCATATCTTGCCGACAGCTAGGTCATCCTGTTCTGTGACTTGGTCTTCAGTGTGAGCTCTTCAGACACCCGAAACAGCTGTGGGGAGGTTAGCGGCGGTTGACCCGGATACCAGGCCAAAAAATCAATATAGCACGGTAGCGGATTTCTACAAGATACGCGCAATGCGATCCCGCGCACGTATTCGTTCGTTCTATCTGTTATAAAAGGGCTGACAGCGGTGCACACCGCTCGCCTGTTTCTGCTAGATAAATGTTTTTAAATCTCGCTCACTAGAAAAACTTGTATCGTTGTGGTCGTTTTGTTCAAATCCTCGTTTTTTTACAGTAATTGCGTACTTTCTGATACGTGAAACCATGTCGCTCCAGGGCCGGAAATCCCAGCTCCTTCTGCAGTACAAATTAGCCACGGACACCTTTGCCATGACCGAGGTGAAAGAGGAAACCGGCACAGGCGCCACCAAAAGTTCCTACGTGAAGGCACGCCGCTACACGTCTCCGGAGTTTACCGTGGAAGCACAGGCGGACTATCCGGAGATTCCCGCATCCCGATGGACACTCGTCCTTGAGGTCGACTTGCGCAAGTACACTGTGAAGTCCACACTGACAAACGTGGATTTCACCGCGGGTTTCCACGGTGTTCTGGTGCAGTACAGCGTTAGGTAAGGGCGCAGCTATATGAAAGCGCAGCTATATGAAATAATGTTTTGCTGTTATTTTAATAGTTCCAATAGGATACTTGTGCGTACTGTAACTTTAAATAACGACATGACTTTTAATGAATATGTTAGTTGCGCTCTGCAATTCAAATTAAATAGTGCTAAAATTATGGAGTACAATACAATGTCATGTAAAGCTATGGGATAATACATATGTAATATAATATTGTATTATGGAAGACAATATTGTGTTAAGTATGCGAAGTTATATAATATTATGAAATTATAAAATATTGTGTTATGGAATACAATATTATGTAACGTTGGTATTTGCTGGTACCATTCCGAAAACCAGATAAGGTTGACGGCATTTTTCATTGCAGTTCAAGCGCCAATGCCTATACTATCTGGCTGCCGCCAGCGGGAGCGGAACCCCAGCCTGCAGAGTATCGCCATGTAGATTCCGCTTGGCCGTTTCTCGGCGAACTGATGTGCGACGCCAATGCCAACGGGGAGCGATGCATCGGTGCATGGAACAGTGTGCGTCCGGGTCGGACCGTGTACCTGACACTGGCCTTCGAGATCAACCGCGGACCGACGGATCTGACGCCCATCTTGGACGCCGGCCAGTTTACCGACTGCACGCTGATCTCCAGCGATGGACGCACCTTCTCGGCGCATCGTGCGATCCTGGCGGCTGTGTCACCCGTTTTCATGGTGCTGTTTGAGAATCAAGGGGACCACCCGCCCAGCCACTATCTGATCGACCTCACCGGGGAGCTCCTGGAGACCCTGCTGCAGTACGTGCACGATCGGATGCCGATGAAATTGGCCGGGCGACTGGAGGAATTCTGGGCGGTGGCGGAGCAGTTCGAGATGACGGCGCTGCAGTGTGCCTGTGAGGATATGATGATGGCGGATGTGGGGAAGGAAAACGCGATGAAGTACTTTGATTTTGCGCGGGAACGTGGACTGGAGCATCTGCAGCGGAAGGCGGCGACGTGCATTGCTAGCGACCTGTAAAGATGCCGGCAGGATCGACGTATTCCGATATTTGTTAATATCGACCCATTCAGCTTGTTGGTTGTGCGTCCGCCTTTCTTATATTATACAAGTATCGATAAAATAATCTAACCTTGAACTAGCGAGCCTAGTAATAACTAGTTTTCTGGTTTTTTTTACTTTCTCATTTTCTGTAGCGGACACGTTACTGGTTGATAAATATGACATTTATCGAACTAACATCAATTAAATTATCTAAATCTGTGAATGTTGTTGATGCTTGTATCTTTGGATGACTTGACAATATCTATACAAGCGCTTTTTTGTAAAATAAAATGCGGTTTGGGACTTGTGTATTACAGCACGAATAATCCAATTATTTGCGGCGTTTTCATTAGCCCAGTAATACAGGAAGTAAATAATTACTGATGCGGTAAATGCATTCTACCGCAGCGCATTCCGGTGAAAATATCTTCCATCTGCAGTAATTTTTGCGCGCTGTCATCCCGCTAGTTCTGAAATTCCGTTTGCACGAACGTATAAACTCCTGTGCCTCTTGTTTAAAATCCCGGCGACTACGCATTCTCACGGGTCACTGCAATGTCGCCTTCAGTTGCTGGTTCATCTTTTATGATTTATCGTCTTAGCGGGACACCAACAGCCCTGATTAAGCTGATGGGATTGAGCGGGGTGGCACTGTGGGAAATAAGAAACCCAACCGAATTCATTGTTCCTACTTGCAGCCAAGTGTGCAAAAATATAGATAGTTATTACGAAGGATTTGTAGGAGAGACTTTAAACATCAATCGTCGATTCAAAAAAAACTTTACTGCACCCGACAGAATTTTCGGCTCAGGCTCTCGGACCAGTTGATCGATACATTTTTGTCGCTTGTGTGCCAAAATAAACATTACACACAATCTCAGAATTAGGTAGTGTATCCTGCACAACGTTTTTATGGTATGCGACAGTTTTGTGGGATGCTCATAGTCAGTAGCGCCAAACACTGATTTTGCAGTGTTGCAATGTGTATCACAAAATATTACGAAAACGTAACGGCAATGCGAAGTTCCCTGGCACGTTTCCTGGCAAGTAGTTTCTTTCAAGCGTAAATACGGATAGGATCACTTTCCCTGTAATCTAAGAAATTTGCCGTGTCCAGAGGTCCAAAAATCTGAGGTTTAAAATTTTATAAAGCTGATCATGAGTTGTAAGGTGTTAATTTGAAACGTAATATAAGTGTAGCGTCTTATATACTATGAGTAAATCTATAGTATGTAGAATGATTTTGGATACTACGGGTATGCATTGCATTTACCCGATCAAAGGGTTGGATCTAGCCGCTACCAGCAATAACTATTCCTCAAAATTGCGGTCCATGGTATTTCTTGCGGTCATTTAGTTGAATTTTTTTCGATGTGCATAAAGCGGTTTCTAGAGGGACAAATTAAAACTCTCCAGCGTGCCGAACAATCTGCATTTCTGTACTCCGTATGTAGTATTTATGGATATCAAGTCATGGTTAAATACGAATACTGATCGTCTTGCTAATGCCAAAAGCGCAGTGACCTATCTTAGGAAAATCTGTTGACGGAGTTAGTTTAATAATTCAGATACGTTACAGTTTGTATGATGACTTCTGATTGAGAAGTACAATTAACAACGTGCAGCCTCTCTCGATAAGCGGGTTGGGTTCAGCTGATCTTATGCATAGGTAATGCAGCATTCGCCTACGCAACTATCCATACATGTCCCTAATCCTGTCGTGTAGCAGCAGCTCGTTAAAAATCTTGCTGCTGGCATACCAGTAATTGCCGCTTATCTTTACCCTACAGTTAAAGGTCACCCTGATAATTAACTTCCTGACGCGATGCTACTTGGAAATTTCCTTTCCCGTTAGGGATAAATTGTTTTCGGGGAATGCAGTTAATTAACGGTCGTTTTATCGCGCCCTAGTGGCGTCATTGCATTATGTTGCTGAATACACTTGTCGCATCAATTAAGACACCGTAATTGAAACTGACTGCGAGGAGACAATAATAACTTGTTGAAATGAGCGGAAGCTGCCGTTTTATGGTGACAAAAGTCAAAACATCAAATGGATGGAACTCTTATATAATGTTGTTCTTTCACAAAAATGCTTTTTCATGGCTCCTTTTGACTAAACTTTTATATCGTTGTGTCTTCTTCGGACGTCTTGCAGACGTCTTGCTGTCCACGTATACATCAGTACGTAAATTGGGAGTAATTTGACGTCTTCCTTGCGATTGCACTTCGTTTTTGTATCGTCGATTCGCGTTTCTGAACTTCACAGTTTCTGTTAAACGGAGGAGCGCCCTTCACCGGACAACAGTAATTATTTTTTTCAGGTATGAAAATGCTATATAATTTGCTGTAATTGTTATAATATTTAAATCTCAATTAAAAGTTTTTCTGTGCGCGCGCGTTTTTCTGTGCGCGAATTTGGACTGATGCATTAGCACTTTTTCGATTTAAGTTATTCTCCCGTTGTCCGCCGTGTGCGTTATTTTCGAGCTTACCTATAGACGTCCAACAAATAAAATATTTATCTGTTTAATTTCGGTAAAATAATCTTTCCTGCCAATGACCGGCATTAATTATTATACAGTGTCAAATTATCCCGTCACGCGACACGGTGGCCGGATGTACAACAAATAGACAAAAAATTAATGAGATTTTTCTTGTGCCAGATAAAAATAAAACCAGAATCGTGCCTTGATATTCTGCAGTTGTTGGCATAAACCAATATTGTTATTAACCGGATTTGAATAATTACCGCTTATTAAAATGTTGACTCAATTACCACCGACTTTTGTAATAAGAGATTATTACTTACTATCGCCTCAAAGTCAGGTCAAGGTGCAGTATTTATTTTGGAATATGGAGAGCACGTAACGCTGTTGATCCGGAAAGGGATTAACCAAAACCGTATGTGAAACGGATGCGACACGTAAATTAAAATCGGACAAATATGACACGCTCCAATCTGACCGCAGGCCCAATATGATTCTAGTCGGGAAGAAGCCGCCATAGCTCTTGTAATGATCTTGTTTTTGTGGCGATAATTATTGTGATTAGACATATATAGTGCCGGCTTTGTACGCAACGCTCAATGCGTAAAAATGTTTTAGTAGTAATTTTATCGTTTTGTAGTGCGAAACGTCACAACTATGAATTTCACGATGGATTCCTGGATGAATTATACCAACATCACAAGTAATTCCACATCCTTAGCGACCACCCAGTGGGCGCCCAACAAAACCGGTGCGGCAATCTCGGCCGTCGCTGATCATAAGTACATCTTAGCCGTTCTTAAGATAGCCGTCACTCCTGCCGGGATGATATTAAACGGCATCCTCCTCCTCATTCTCATCGCGAATAAAACCCTACATACATCTTTCGCCGTGTACGTGTTCGTCATTCTCCTATCCTCCTTCTTGTACGCTTCTCTCGAATTTCTACTGGTCATTCTGGAGAATTACGGGGATTTTACCATCGCACTGTGCTATTTGCAGCAGTGCTCGCAATGGCTGATCAGCGCCCAATGGGTCAACGCGCAACTGCAGATCTGTTTGAACCGTATCTGGGCACTAACCTTTCCCATCTCGTATAAGGAGCGCCATACCAAACGGGTGGCGGTGATGATCACGGCGGCGAACTGGGCGATGCTGTACATGCTGGGAATCCCGACAATCGTGTTAAATACGAGGTATTTTCCGGCGAATCCCAGTAAACCGTTTGTATCGTGTATAACTGATATGATCGCAAGAGGACGGTATACGCTGGGCAATATGATTATGGATCTAACTGTCCCCACTATAATCATCATCCTATCATATCCGTACCTGTTGTATCGACAACTTAAGCGGTCGAAAAAAAGGAAAGCGATGAGCGCTGAAAACCCGGGAATACGGATGTTGATTAAGGAGGACTTGCATGCATTTCTGGTGCTGACCTCGATCACGGTGTCGGTGGCGCTGTTTTGGGCACCGATTAGTATCTCCTTTATCCTGCTGATAACCGGCAAATTGCGCTTGGCACCGGATACGATGCAGCTGATTTCCTATGGGTTTGCGCTGTGCGATCTGGTTATGAATCCGTGTTTGATATGTTTATCGGCTAAGGATCTGCGGATGGCGACACTGCGGGTGTTCCGGTGCCGGGTGAAGAAGGGACGGTCGAATGTCGTGCATCCCCGGACTGCGGCGGTTAATACAACCGCCGCCCGTGTCACAACCGCTGCGCCACGGACTACTAATGCACAATAAGAATGACTTGTGTCTCAGTGTTATTTGACAATCCGCAGCCATAAATTATGTAGTAACGCCTCTGTAGTTTCTGGACTGTTGTCATACAAACCCCTAAACCAGGGCTTGTTAGGCCTCGTTTTGCGCAATATGTCGTAAACGTTTAGATCTAGAAGTAGTAAGCATAATAAAGAACGAAGCAGAAAGAAGTTTAAAGGGCAGAATTTCATTCACCCTACGACTCCATTTTGAAAAATTTATCGAAAAGCATCTGCTACTGTAGAAAAATTTCTAATGTGCCACTGCAGATACAAAAAAATATTGCAGCGCTTAACAAATACAGCTATCGAAGCATTAACCTATTGCGACAGCTTTGACTAGCCATGTCTGATGCTTCTGCACATCAGTATAATTCCACTACTGCATGGACGCATTATCAAATCGTCAACAACAAACGTTCAAATTTCGGCCAAAAATAAAACATGTTATTCAACCCAAAAAGACTGCGGCGACTGAAGGGTAAAAAAACTAGCTAATGCAGTACAATGTTATTCAAATGCAGGAAGCAGCTTCTCTTTAACTTGGATAAAAATACGGAACGATGGAAAAAGAAACATGAAATTGCATAGTGGACACAGAAGCAGTTGCGAAATAATTGTAGCCGTCACTAGAAATTCAGCGAGGCAACGCTGTTTCAGTATTAATGTGCAGACGTTAATTTTGTGTTCTTATACACGGTTTAAAATTCTCTTTAAGCATCATTTGCATCCTTGCCACAACATAGCCCACCAAACTTTCCGGGTCCGAAGATTAACACCTGAGCTCCGATATATTTTGCGGCTTTCTTTCACAACAGTGTGATACCGTGTTCTTGCGCGAAGACCAGATATCGTAAGGCATTACTTCGCTCCATCCATTCCGCCATACAGACTTCGCAGGCCGAGCGTAAGGTTTTCATGTCGCACTTATCAGCTGCCATCCAGAGTTCGTCCATCCGTGCACATAGCTGGGAACTCTCGTCATACGTCAACTCATGGGTATAGGCGTAGCGAATGAGGACATCCAGCACGTCACTTGTGGCATCGTCTACTTTGCAGATACCAGTAGCTTTTTCTTTCATCTCGTTTTGGAACATGGCAGCAAAGACCGGCGAATGAGCCGCTAAGATGTTGCGATGGGCTGTGAATTTTTTTCCATCGGTTAACACCTGGGTGCAATCCGAGAGAATTGCAGATTCCATCAGGTCCTTCAAATCACTGCGATGTTGAGAACGCGTAACATGAAACACCAGTTCCACTTTAACCTGGCGCCCATGAGCTAAACTATATTGGAAGCCAGAAATTCGACGGTCCAGTTGTATCACCAAACTTGAAAGGGGATCGGCATCGCCTCGGTATTGCCAGGATGAAGAATCAACCCAAAGAGCAGCAGCTGTGCTACCTCCGGCGCTAGGAAAGGAATCAAAATTAGTTTTAAGAAAAAAACTGCAGTTAGCCGTTAGGAATAAGTATTTATTCACGACCGTATCGATAAATTTTTTTGCTGTGTAGAATGTAGATTCTGTTCGATCATGGAGTCATTTCAAACAGTTTCAGCATACAGCAGCATTCATTTTGTGGTTAAACCGTTTAAGTGTTAACTACCGCAAATTCACGTCCGTATTGGCAATGTGCAATAAACTCTTAAAATGATTTACCTCACAAATCGATCCACTTTGATTTTGGATAAACTAAAAGCATCACTGGATTTCTCTTTGGGTTCCACACATGCTGAAATCTCTCCATCGCGCACCCCCACCTCAATGCGTACCGTCCACACAGCCTCATGCATCTCCGAATAACCCTCATATTTCTCCACTTTGATGTCGGCCGTGCGGATCCATTTCGGGGCAACCCCGCTCATGTCCAATTCGCTGGCAAACTCGTCAGTGGGAATCTCGTACTTTAGGATAATGGGCTGGGTGCTACGGCTGGAGCAGCGATGGACAAACTAGGCGAACGTCCAGAAAGCATACGGCCAGAAAATCGAGGTTGCCTTTCCATGTTTACGCCTGAAGATTGTTGCAGAAAAAAGAAAGCATGAAATTCCAAAAAAAAAACAACTTCAGATGCGGTCTTTCTCGCTGGCTGCTGTACGATCAGGAAGTCTTCCTGATCCAGAGGAAATACTGTGGTAACAAGAAGTGTGGCTCATAAAGCTAACAAGTACATATGCAAACTGCAGAGTGCAGAGCCTATACGAGCTGCAATCCAGACTGGCGCCTAAGGGCGCTAGGAGGCTGCTACGGTGCCGTAAACTTCTGTGTTAAACGGGAAAAGCTTAAATCTTTCGATGTAATTTTTTTGAAGTGGCTATTTTGTGCCTGTAGCTATTTTACCGCACTATGACCGGTAAAATAGCCTTTGAGAATATGCCGCACACTGCATTACAGTAACTGGTACTGTAGCTACAGTATTTTGCCGATCATACTGCGGCAAAAATAGCCCTAGTCGAAAATCTTGTAGTAAACTTTCATTTTCAGTTTTTTTTTAATTTTTTCTTCACTTTTTTTTTTAGCTATATTACACACGGAGTGGATGAAATCAGATGTTTTCGTGAAGTACCAAACTTGCAGGGGATGTCCATTACACAGAACGATGTAGTGCACCTCAGTGTGCAAAACTGGGATGAAAAAACAAATACCGGTATGATAGCATACCGCAGTTACTACGGTATGTACATACTCGTACACTAATAAAAATATGAACACCTGTCATACTTCGCCGTAGTATGTTCGTACAGGTGTTCGTATTAGCTGAGATTTTAGCCTGGGCGCCGTTGTGCTTAAAAGGACAGCGTAGGCAACACCAGTGACACCGATGAAGTATGTACTTACTGTACTACCCCACAAGAAGGACAGTACTCACAGTAGATGTGTCTGCAATGACACCTTTTGTAGCAAGCTGCAATCATTCATGTGGTAGCGCAGGCGTGCAGCAGCACAGTGCTGCTCCACGTTTCTACCGCATGAAGTTTTAATTTACAATTCCAGGTCTACATAGCATAGAGGAAGTGTTTCTTTTGTAAATGCCGTTTTGTTCTGGTGCATAGTTTGTACTCGTACCATGATACTTATTAAAGGTTAATACCTTGGTCTACAAAAACGTTTGCAACAACAACAATATAACGGTAACACACTGCGAACGAAAACAGCCACACATTTTACGTAAACGGTAGAGAAACAATAATTATCTTCTAACTATTCGAAACCATGTACAAGACTTGAAGACCAGCCGAAATGTTCCGATTAAATGGGCTGTGCCTGTTCTCAATAATGGAAACTCTTGCCAGATAACTGCCATTTCGCGTGTAGATTCAAATGACCTGCGAAATATATTTAAAAAAACATTTTCCGCACCGGTTATCAACCAAAGACTTCAGCAGCACGAACTTGGGTGATGTTGGCACACTCTTTTGCTGGTTCTCCGCTTTTACCACCCCCAGCCAGCTCCGCAAACACTAACAAAGTGCTTATCAAAGCGGCGCATGCCTATGAGAACAATTGGAAATTTTTACAACACGACCATGCGATACGAAACTTACGGATGTCGGATATCTGTGATAGAACTCTCCTTCTTTACAAATAAAAACTACATCCCAGGAGACAGCCCAGGAAGGTTTTGGGAGTGTACTATAACAGTAGTTCTAACTTCTGGAAGTATGTGGAAGTACCTATTGTATATCATACTCGGTAGATCAAAATTAATTACCGATTAAAATTTACTGTACCAGTAAATACCAATAAATTATGTGCACTGTCAGAGTACCTGAACAGCGTTTTCTCGCGTGATTACCACACCCCCGACAGTAAAGCAGCACAGTTCGCTTTGTTTCCCACGGAGATACATAGACATCCATTCATCGTTTTTCCACTGTTTTTCCCCAATCGCAAACACATTTCAACTTGTGTAGCGAGTTTTTGGCTCTAGGACGACCAATAGCGCACAATAAAGTCATCAGTACTTTTAATATGGGAAACATCTGCAACGAGCCAGTCAATTCGAAAATTATATGTAACAGTTCTTACCTTTTCAGTGGAGTATGCACAGAAAGCGGTCAGTGTACAAAACGATAGTATGTACGTGATCAAGAAGGAGACGATTCCCACTGGAGGCTGCTGACCCGCTGTGTACTTGCTGCAGTCGAGCGTAAGAACAATTGTACCGGCTAGATCTTCATAACACAGTAAGCCGACAATTGGCGAAAACGCACCACTCAGATCCTTGACGATCTTCTTCAGTTGTAGCATTTCTGAACACTCCTGCGTAGATATCATTTCTGATGTGATGCTTCCGCTGCTGTGTTTCTGTAGGCTGTTATTTAAAAGCTCAGTCGTCCCACGAACGGTTTCAATAGTCAGAAACATAATAGATAACACGAAACCCAAAACGATTTCGCGGCTGACGACCGGCAAACATGTACCCAAAGAGTAAATTCGAAAAATCACTTCCACATAGGATGCCGGCAGACTGGATAAAAACCGCTGATGAAAGTCGGCTATTTGCTGCGCTATCGAGGCGCCAAATTGTTGCGTGTATATCCAATACGCATATTTTACTGCAACACTGCAAATGTATAAAGCCATGATGACAACGCAGACGTACAGTCGCCGTGGGGCGATTAATCCAGTGGAAATTTGGTCGAGAGTTTTCAGGAGCGGGAAAAAAGTTTTACTGACTAAGGACACCAACAGAATGCACAATAAATCGCAGATAACGTTGGATGCGGTGATTACTTGATTCACGACAAAGGTAAACCAGTTTGACAAGTGGGACGAATAGAACTTAACGGCTTCGTACAAAAACAGCGTGTTTGTCAAAACAATAAATGCAGCAGAAATGTACGCAAATGCACACAAAACGGCAGTTAATCGAGCATGGCGTTGCCCTGGCGGGAAAATGTAGCCACAGATGCGCAGTAGTGTAATCCAGATAACGATGACCTTCCACAGTGGACCATTACTGGTCTCCTCGTTATTTGTCGACGGCTTCCTCGTGGATTCCTGTTCGACAATGGCGAGAACCATTTTCATGATTTTAGCGGACATTCAGCTACACAAGAGCGCTTTTCGGCGTACAACAAATCTATTACGGGTGTACGCTACTGTAAGTTCATTACAACTGCCAACCCAGGCAATTTCTGTTGCTGCTCGATGGGATTATATGTCGTGGCCGCAGAGAGCGTAATATGCTTACCGCATCACTTAATGACCGCTTTTTATCAACAATAGTTGTCTTTGCCGTCGTGTCAAGGCGATCACCGATGAATGCAACAGGGAACTGACAATGCACACAGTGACGGGGGTGAAATCCATTGTGGGAACGATTTTGTAGTGTTTGATCTGGAAACCGTTTCTGCCTGGAACCAGCCCAGGCATCACGTCAAAATATGGGCCTGAACTACAGCGTGTTTTAATCCTGATAACTATTATCAGGACCCACTGTATACAGGCCTAATAGGGCGGCTGAGCAGTACGAGATGACGTAAAAGTAGGTGAGACAGTTGAACACAGCTGCAGTGCAGAAAACTGCGTTCTCTTTCGTTTTACGACCTTCCCTAGTTCCAAATTCATTTACAGTCATTGAGTTTTAAGTGTGAAATGTACCAATCTTTTATTCTTATCAAAATGTATCGTGGAAAATGGGTTTATGAAGTGTAAATTGGAAAAAGAAGCAAACCACTGCAACGACGGTGCAGCTCCATTCATGCTGTACTGTATTCAGTGTATTGTTCTATATACACGCTGTGTTGCAGCCTTTGCTGCATTGACTTTAATTGCTTACGAAGCCATTATTTTTTTCTTCCTTTTCTCTGTGTTATAGTGATTAGTGAGTGAAAGTCCATGCTGAACATGTCGGAGCTGGTCAAGGAAATCTTTTGTGAGATTCCCTTTAACTGATGCAGTACGTCGTGTGGATGGTATTGCTCTCCATTCCCACGAATATTGTCGTATACACATCATTTTTATTGGTCAAATCATACTTGGGGGCAAAGTAAAGAAAGAAACATGCAAACTACAGCAAGAAAATCTCATTTAATTTATCCAGCCCTTCCATCGTGCCAAGCACTGACGCCGCGTTACCCCGCTGAATCTCTATCGACAAGCGCTGTCGTATATGTTTTTTGATGCGATTTGTCCACGTTTTTAAAGAGCGACAGCCACAAGTTTCTCACGTAATGCTACTTTTATAACAGGTCATC